AACCATAATTGAGACATACATGAGAAAAAACTATTCATATGGTTCTTATGACAAGTAGAAAGGATTTAAACAAAGAGAGGGCGTGTTAATAACACTACTGTGTACAAGTTTTGATCTCAACGTCAAAGTCAGTCTGAGGTGAATGATTGATCCTGACTGCATTATGTTCCCGAAGAGAAAACCGGGTAAAACATGATGAAATCAGCGTCTCCGCTATCTTAAGAAACATTCCTTTTAAGAGACCCTTTTATATCGAAAGTTGTTTTTCTTTCTTCTTTGTGACATATACGGGCTTATTTAATCCGTGAAAGAGATGTGTCTCAAAAACTTGTCCAAAAATCCGATAGTGTAACTTTGTGACTAGCGAAAATGAGTCCTATTTAGGTAAGGGAACAGAGAGCTGAATTTGCTGTGTACATCCTCTAAATTTACTGCCTGCCTCTGTATTCATACTGATTTTTCCTTTTCAGATGAGATTATAACATGACAAAAGCATTGTCTGCTCGACAAACGCATTAAAATTTGATTGCACTATGTTCTCGAAGAAAAGTCCGAGTAAAACATAGTGGAATCATAGACAGCTCGGAAACGTCTTAAATTAAATATTCAGCTCTTTTCTGCATTTTGAGATCTCTTCGGACTCTAGAAAAATGTAGCCTCAAAAAGTTATGATTAAAACGGCGAGATCCACTTTTCCAAAAAAGAAATTGAAATATAGCTAGCGGCGTTTTAATCATAACTTTTTGAGGCTACATTTTCTAGAGTCCGAAGAGATCTCAAAATGCAGAAAAGAGTTGAAAATTTAATTTAAGACGTTTGCGAGCTTCTACGATTTTTCGTTGCGAAGATTTTATAGGGACTCTCGTGGGATATTTTTTCATTTTGTTTAGATTTTTTTGAATTTTACTGGGACTCCCGCGGGACTCCCGACGGGAGTCCGGTGGAACTCTCGCGGGATTCTTTTCCGGGACTCCCGCAGGACTTTGGCCGGAAGTCTCGACTAGGGTTGGTACCGCCATGTGCATGACCTGTATTTAAAAAGTACTGAGAAAAATGCAGTTTTAAAAATATGGAATTTTTTTGTTTAATATTATTTAGTCCTAGATAGTTAAATATATTATTATGTCTAAATATATGATCTTATAGAGTAAACATTTCTCGTTCAAATGAGCCATGAACGAATCATTCGAGTTTGAAAGTTTTTCAGAAAATCGGAAAATACGAACATTTATGAAAATTCACGTGTTTTAGTAACGAGAGTAACTCTCAACAGAGTGTTTGGCTTCTAGTGTTTTAGAAAAGCACTTTCAGAAAGAGTTATTGCAAGGTTAGTGGTTATTTTCTACGCTCTTTCGAATGAGACATAAATGAAAATAAGATAAAATTTTCCTCCGGATAGTCTCACGGTACCTAGATCGGTTTGATGAGTCAGCAATGCTTACAGAAGCCCTCTTAAGCGATATCGGAAAGAACTTTGAAATTCCAGCATAAATCCAGATCTATAAGTTCTCTGTCTACCAAGAACTATTTATAGACTATTGGGAAAAAGGTAAAAAAATTTTCTATTTTTATTTTTAAGGAACTTCAAAATCTTTTTTCAGAAATTAGTACACCATTGAAATACACTTCATAGCCAATAGAAAGAACACCAGCGGACGCTCAAAACACGAGAAGAACGAAGCACCATTCGAAGGCGGCTTTCCACTGCAACAGAGATCATCACCTCTCACAGGTGGTACACTGTCATCTTCTCCATTTGGATCGTAACTACGCAAAACGCGTCGTTTATTTCTCGCTTGTGGTTCACGAAAATCTTGTTCATAGACAGCATCATGCAGTTCCTTCAATTCTTCAAATGAAAAATCAATTGGTTTTTTAAAGAGAACAAATGTAACACTTTCACTACACGGTGGAGTTGTTAGACTACCATCATACTGCCAATATTCTGTTAGATCTCGATCCATCAGTGTTCTTAGAGTTGTACTTATGTTGATTGTATTACTCACGTTTCGGAGTTTAACTGCCTGTTCTGTGTAGTCATACCAGAGTTGTTGTTGTAGAGACTGAACTGAACTGAACTGAAATTTATTTTTACACAAAGGTAGGATATCACAAAAAAGCACCAAAAGGACTTGTGGCATCAGAAGACACCAAATGATAACCTAAACTAAAAAGTTTCAATGAGGCAACGAATGTAAACACTATTATTATGACCTAATCGAGAACTTTGACGCGTAGTTAACCGTGAGATCAAGTCAAAAGAAGAGAGAGGACTTTTATTATAGAATATTTTATGAAAATAAAGAAGACGATAGTAGAGACGTCTATTAGAGACTAGTTGAATTTTAAATTTTTTGAGCAAATAAGAAGAAGAACTATTAAAGTCTTGTGCAATAATTCTACTAGCAAGACACTGAATTTTGTTTAAAATATTAAGGTGAGAAGTAAAAGTTGAATCATAAATAACACAAGCATATTCGAGCACTGGT